TGGTGCATGGGATGCATCAGCATAAGCCATGACTGGAAGCCTTCCAGTTCACACTTACATACTGGGAACCACTATGATGACAGGAAGTCAGGCATAAATAAGGCCTAAGCTTTCTTTTTTCACAGATCAGTAGAGCAAGCAGAGATAAAGGCATCAACTCACCAAGGCTCCTCTGTGCTGTCTAGCACTATTTTCTTCCTACCTTGACTTAGAACATTAACATAACTATATAGATATCTATCTTAAAACTCTTGGGGGATAAAGTGAGGCTCAATACATCAAGTCTTACTATTTTTTAAACACAGATGTGTCTGAGTACCATTGAACTAAATCCAAATTCAGAGCATAATTAAGTCAGCATTCTAGAGGTACTATTTATTTTAGCATTATTCATAACAACACCTCTTTTGAAACTTAAACAGCAAGAAAAGCAACTCTCATCCATCATTTTTAAAAAGGGCCAGTAAAATTAGAAGGAAAGTGTCAGTACCTTCATCTTCCTCTAAAAATCATACCTATTTTTCCTCTTGCTCCACAAGCAACTGAGATGAGAATGTCTTGATGTACACAAGCTGAATTTGCATTTATTCATTCTATATTTCTCCACACTGCCCTCCAATACTTGGGCACACAAGGGTGTAAGAATGACACAAAAGTCATTAAAACTGCCAAGACAACATAAACTATTCTTCTCCAGCATGTCTCACCCTGAGCCCTCCAAGTCGCGTGAAAGCCACCATGCAGTCAACTTTTCTGTGATCTTTTTGATTCAAAGCCAGAATACTCTATTCATTATGCCCTCCCGCTGAACATCTAGCAGATTGCCAAGAGAAAAATCTGCATCATACTTGCTTCTGATAAGACCAGCAGTAATTTGCCTCTGTGCTTTCTCTTCTAAGGCTGGAGGACAAGGCAAAAGAAGGGCCACTGACACTATCCACAGAGGTGCGATCTCAGGAGAGGGAGGGAAGGCCGAGGAGCACCACATTCATGCCAGCCCTCAACAGTCAATGGATGGAAGTCAGCCCAACTTGGCATTTAAAATACCCGTCTTTGCCCCTTTCCGAGACCCTCACGGCTGTTCCTCCTAAGGAGCTCGGTGCAATCCCCAGAATCAGTGACTGCCTTTGCTAAGTCAGGGCTCTGGCACTAACAAAACATGTGGGGAAAACTCTCATTTTACCAAGCCTGCTTATGCCCAAAACTGTCCTGCAGGAAGGAGGTGGCACAGCCAGTGCACTGAAAAGCAAGAGCCCCTTATGCAGCTTGCAGCAACAGCTCAATGCCAATGAAACAGCCTCCTGTGCCCTAAGGTATCCTGATGCCACTGAATACTGGGCATGAGGTCTATTGCCAGCTCTTGTGTGGGTTTTCTATTCCTGTATCTATCATTTCATTATTGCTCCAAGTTTATAAAAGCGTGTTGTAAATGTGGTTCTGCAAGAGAGCTCAGGGAAGTCAAACCACATGTTTACCCCAAATGTTTTAGCTCATTCAGAAGTAATTTTTTATTGCATCTGGCACTTCACGAGATGCCACCCTTACCTCTTTTCGTACAAATTGCAAGTTACAAAGAGATGGCTAAAACACCCATTAGTTAACATACATTCTACTCTATATGTCCAATTTCATCGTGGGTATTTCTAAGCAACCCAAGTTTCTATGGTACTCAGATGTCACGGAGTTACCATGATCCATACTAAGATGACCACAGTGAGCATTTCTTTGGTTTTTTGCATTTTCATGTTTCTTTCTTACTTTGGTTCTGGAAAAGCAATAAGGTTTGCACTGCTCTGTAAAAACATCACTTTGCGTGCGTCTCTAGAGCAAACTCCGTGACACGGCTGCGTTTGCTCCTGACTTTGCCCGAGCCCCACTGACAGGCGTGACTGATCACATCGCTCTCCACAATCCCAGACAAAGCCCGAATGTTCACTACCCAAAGACACCATTCTTCGGGGACTCCTTTATTTGCCCACACAGGATTCTGTTGTTTACTAAAACAGAAACTAACAGCCAATATTTGTTCCTGTGAATTATCCAAACCTATGCACCAACCTACAGCTATACGCTTTTTATGTATCACTAGAACAAAACAGCTTTACAACTCAGAGCTTTAACTCGAAGAACCCCTATTGCTCTAACAAACCTCCTGACACAGGCATTTAAATCTAAATTGTCTGAAATACAAAGGCAGAAAAACAATTAGCAGGAATCCTTCCTGATCCTCCTTTTGCCAGGGATTCAGGTAATATAAATGGTTACATCAAAATGAATAAAGGAGTAGCATTTTCATCCTTATTATTTTTACTTCTTTTTAACCAAAACCTTGTTTTTTTAACAAGCTGACCAAATATTAATAGATCACACAGATAACACTGGAAAGATCTGAGAATCAGTCTCTGGTTGTGGTTAAGGACAGTGATTCAACTCCAACAGCGTTTTTCTGCCCCACTATCAGCGAAACTCATCTTTGTTTCCTGTCTCAAGGACATTTTCTTCAATTTCTATATATTGTTACTTGGAATTTCAAGTATTGTGCATTAACTGGAAAACTGTTTCACAAGAAACCACTCTGGAAAACTACCATCAGTTTCTACATAATCCGTACTTCTTTTTAAGGAAACTTCTAATTTATATCTCAGGAGTAAAATTAATGTGACCAGATGGCATCAGGGCCTATGCTTCGCTGTACTGCTCCCCAAGACATAGCACCAGTGCAATGGTTCTTCCTAAGCTCTCACTGCTACAAAGTAGAATACAGAAGGCTAAGAATAAAAACCCGTTCGAGAGGCTCAAGATGAAATTGTCTCAGGAAGCTCATTAATCATCACCTCAGGAGAATGCAGTGAGCAATAAGGAGAACAACTGGAACATTTCAAAAGATACCAACCAGAAGGAAGCCTACTGTAAGTTCCTCAGTATTCAGTATAGTGAATTACCAACATTCACTGTACTACTTATATGACAATTTCCAGTGAAAACCTGCTACAGGTTTCACAAATCAAAGAACATACAAAATCCTTTGTGAAAGCTTGATGGGTGAGCAATGGCCTATATTTCCATAGTCTCTTCAAAGTTTGGGAGATAAGGAAGGCCAGGAGCAGGGAGAGGACCCTAGAAGGACTACTGCCTCCTTTCAAATCCAGGCACCTATCAGCCTGCGGTTGATGGAAATGCGGGATCACTGAGTATGGTTTAGGGACATCTGGCAGAAAACTCCCCTCCTCCCCTTTTCTATTATGTGCACCAGAGGGGGTACTCTCCCTGGGATAGCTCCCCTCTCATGCTTTCCTGGGAGGTCTTAGCGGACTGGTTATCTTTATTTATGTTAGCCAATATACAACATAAAGCATACAATAATAAGGTTAAAAAAAAAAGAGAGGAAAAAAAGAGAGAAAAATAGACAGGGCTGGAAGATAAAAAAGGTCTCTTCCATCCAAAAATTTAAATGCGGTATCAACATACGCAGGTTAGCACATGTTAACTAAAACATTTTCAAACACTAATGCAGATGTGACATGCAGCTTTAGCATAAACTAAACATGCTGGATGTCAGTGAGGGGCCTGAATTTTATATCTGGGTTTATCCAACACCTTCCTAGAGGAGGTAAGAGGAAATAGAACAAGCCCATCAATAGCAAGGAAAGAAAGCAAAAAAAGAAAGAAACACACAGTAAACCAATATATTTCCTCCAGTCAGAAAGAGAAAGGAAGAAGTCTGATATCATCTTAAAAGACTGTTAGCAGAAGCAACACACAATAATGCAATACAGAACTCTTCACTGCATTTGTGACATGCAGATGTCTTGGTCAGGAAAGCATTTTCCTGGAATTTCTGGGTGTTGGTCTGGCGTTTAAGTAACATTACAAAGACTCGTTTTTAAAAACAATTTTAAAAGCACACCAGATCACATTTAAATGGGAGTCATTATTAGACTCATTACAATTGTAGAACAAAATTATGTCGCTTCTTCCACTGCATATATTTTCATATTTGCATGTACCTCTAGCTCCAAACTGTATTACTGCAAATCTCAGCCAAAAGATTTTTCAGACAGGCATTGTATTAAAAGGCTTCATTAAATTGTAACACCAGGCATAATATACGTGTTCCAAATGCTGAGGGCTCCATTAATCCCATTTTGTGAATTTACCACTGCCTTCCGCTTCACACAACTTAAAACACCGAAACCTCTGTCTTCTTCAAAAATTCTGTGACGTTTAACGTGGACTAGGCTGTTACTGGGGAATATCACCATGTATGTGACAACCGACCGCATCCCTCTGCTGCCCGGCTTTAATTTCTTTTCAGAAATCAAGCTTTACTTCCAAGAAAAACTAGTGCTTTCCGTGTTCATGATCAGAAGCTTTGAAATGCTGAAAAAGACTTGCGCCCTCATTTTCCTTTCCAACGCAAGATACGCTTTCCTGGGTATTTTAACGAAACAGATGGTAGGTGCTAAGCCCCTGTACAGGGCTTTCTCATTTAATGTCAGCACACATCTAAATCGATCTATTTCTATTAGATGCCTTTTGATGCCAAGCTCTTTCCGGGAGACCCTGCGGGATGCAGGACACGGCCGGAGGAGCCCCAGAAGCGGGGAGCCTCCAAGAGCAGGCACTCCCGGTGCGCGGATGACACGGGATTACGCACCAGGAGAGACGACGCAATTACAAAACACCGAACCCGCATTCGCCTGCCCGTGCCCGCACGCAGGCGACCGCATCCGAGGCGGCGGGTTCTACCTTTACAGGCACGACACCCAGATCCTGCAGGGACAAGGACACACACACACACACACGCAAACACGCACACACACGCAGACCCCCCGCCGCCCCCGGCACAGCAGAGGAGCCGAGCGCTCGCCCACCGCGACCGTCCGGCGGGAAGGACCGTCCCCTCCCGGACAAAGGCTGATGGAGACGGGTGGCCGACCCCGGCTGGTGCCGCCGCTGTGCCCGGGGGCTGAGCGGGGCCGGCGGACCCCCGGCCTTACCTGCGGCGGGCGGGGGCGGCCGGTCGGGCTCGTCCTGCTCCAGGGTGACGGCGCCGTCCCGCCAGACGCGGAGGTGCGCGGCCGCCGCCCCCGGCCTGCCGGCGGGGGTCTCTCCGCGGCGAGCGCGGGCGCGCAGCGAGGCGCAGCACTGGTAACAAACGGCCCACGCCTGCTCCTCGTTGATGGGCTGGTTGTAGAGCCGCAAGATCTCCTCCAGCGACAGCGCCTCCGGCTGCCCGCCGGACCCGCCGCCGCCGTCCTCCTCCTCGTCGGCGGCGGGGCGGGAGGCGCCGGGCTGGGGCTCCATGCCCTGCGTCCGCCGCGGTGCTACTCGCTCAGTGACCGGCCCCGCCGCCGCGGCAGCTGCTTGCGCTGATGATGCCGCTGCTCGTGCTGCTGTCGCCCGGTCCCGCCGTGCTCATCCTCCCCGCCCCGCTAGTGCCACCAGGCCGCCGGACGGACAGCCCGGCCCGCGCGGCAGGCAGGCAGGAGGCTGGATCCAGGAACCAGGCGGGAGGAAGGCAAGCAGCAGAATCAGCGCCCGGTCCGCCCGGCGCCGCCGCAGGGGGAGCGACAGCTCATAGCAACGCAATGGCGTCCCGTCCCCGCCCGCCCCCGCCGCCGCCCGGCGCCGCAGCGCCCCCTGCCGGCCCCGGCCGCTGCGGCGGGGAAGGACAAGGCGGGATTCACCTCAGGGCTACCACGGCAAGCAGGGCTCGGATCTCCAGGAAAGACGCTGGGCTTCCTCCCCTGCCAGAGACACGGATAGCAGTGTGGTGTTATCCCATAACCCTCGGGCCGCTCTTTCTGCACCGGGTGTTGGTAACAACCCCCCCCCGAAACGAACAACTCCCCCGCAACCCCAACTGTCAAACACTGACATCAACCCACATCATCACGGACATGGCGAAACGCATCAGCCAGACTCTGCTTTCACAGCAGGAGGTCTGCCCTCCCAACGTAAACACTTCCTCCGGGAAAGCTCCATTCTCGGCAGCAGCAAGGCTGGCAGGGTACACAGGGAGGCTGGCAGCAGTTGAACCATCACAGTCTGGAAAGGGAACAACAAGGGAATCGTCTTCCAAGCAGCTGGAAACTGACGTCCCTTCCCCTGAACACACCTGGGCACCAGAGGGGCACAGCCCTTCGTGCCAAGGTTCTCTCCAAGTAAACTAGAAGAAGAACAGACTAAATAACCTAACACACACACCGAACACACAGTGGTTTTCTCTTTAGCATTTTACCCCTCAGATGTGAAAGGAAACTAAAATTGTCCCGTTCGCACCTGCTCCACATGAGACTGGAAGGTGTGACGGGACAGCGCGGGGCAGTGCCCCCTGTCGCACCGTCGGGATAGCGCCTGGCTCCAGCCAGTCAGCTGCTCTCCCATTTCGCTTACCGCTCCTCTATCCCCTTTCACTTCCAGCTGTTCTGAACGCCGCAGCTTTTTCCCTCCTGCAGTGACATACACGTGTGTAAAATACAGCGCTGCATATGAGATACAACTAGTACTTAAATAACGCTTAAATTTAGCGATATTCACCATGTAATATGATCCAGCCTTTCATGTTACATTGGATACAATGAAAAAAATCCTGTATGCTGCGTAACAGGCAAACGAATACATTTTGATCTTTCAGGTATAAAAAGAAAGAAAACACAAAAACAGATTTGTAAAGTTAGCAGCAGAGCATAATGTACTACTAAAACTCCAAGTTAAAACCCCAGTGCTACAGTATTTAACACTTCTTGAAAAACAAAACAAAACAAAAACGGTATCACGCTACCACACTGCTGATTAAATGTACATGCGAAATGCCAACATCCACTCCTGCTGTATGTGCTACAAGCTTTTCTAGAATTAGTTAATTCTTTTCGCTCCAGCACCAGCAGAAAGAGTTGTCTCTCTCTTACAAGTAGAATGAAAGGAGGTGGTCATGGGCTATCACAGACACAGAATGGCTTCTACAGAAGAAACCAAACAGTTTCAGACCTTCCAGCCTCCTGGCTGTCTCCTGGAGTCCACATGGTGGAAAATCTGAGAGGCACGATATAGAGATGTTCAGTAAGTCCAACTGCTTACCATTTCGCAAAGCATGAAGACTAAAAGATACTCAGCAAAATCATCATCCATATGTTTAACACAGACAAAACCACAAATGGGTAATTAAGTTCACATCTGAGTGTCAGAACTAGACAAAAAAACGAATGGCTGTCAAGCAAAATGGCCTGGCTACAACTTCTACCTCAGAAACTTCCTAAGCTAACATCAGAAAAAAGGCACCACTTCATCTAACCCATCACAGCTATTCACATGTTCAGGTATCCAAGTCTTAATATATATTTTAAAAAACAAAACCATAAATTACTAAATTCATAGATTAACAAGATTACCTGTGCTTGACTGAACTGTTTTCAGAAGCTGAATGTAGAAGTTACTGCTGTGTCCAACAGAAGCGCAAATAACTTTTTGTTGTAGAAAGGACACATGCTTAAATGTCAGTATTACTGGCTCTCAGTCACTCACAAAGTATACCGTGAAGACTACAGGGAAAGGAGAGGTAGAATGGAGTTGCTTACCCTGCTGAGGTAAACCAGATTTATTTCTAAATGAACTCTCACACCAATTCAGAACTGCGAAAGAGAAGCCAGAATTTTATGCACACATTTTAGTAAACTGACCCACTTTTCTATAATTATGAAAAGTAACTTTTATTGCAAAGAATAATAAAATTTCTTTATAAATACAATAATTACTGTGTACACAATCCCCTTCAATACACACACTGTGGTATTCAAAATCAGTAGCATTTATATAAAATACAATACTAGTTTTCAATTGCAAAACTTTATACCCACATGCATTATTTTGCAGATCTGAAAAGGTATGAATAATTTCGGGTTTTTTCAAAGGACGGAGCGGTATTTACAAGCAAACATGATCCAAACAGCACATGCAGATTCAGGGTATGTAAACACTCGTACACGAACTGCAAGTCGCACTTGGTCTCCCCTACAACAGATTATTTCTTCACAAAAAGGAGACCTGTATGACAAAAAGAAAAAACAAGAGTAAGATATTATTAAAGCTTTCAATTACATAGTGCAATTTTTTTCCAATATGACTAACACGTAAGTAACAATGAGTGTCATGAGCCTATCATTACAAATAATAATATTATTCTATAGTGCAGGGGCTGTTGCCTTGGAGGAAAACAACACCACCACTGATCATTTTTAACAAGTACTAAGAAAGTAAATTAACTTCTCGTTCTGTAATTTAAGCCACGAGAAGTCTATCATCAGTGAACTCACCAATGCAACCTAAAAGCTCTGTAGCCACTACATATACCATACAACTCTTCTTACAGCTCAAACCTAAGGAAATTAATTTTCTTTAAATTTCGTTATTTAAAAAAAATCTTTACATTTCAACTCACCGAAGACACGTAGCAAATGCTCTCCTGACACTTCTGTGTACAAAATGGATAGGAAACCCTTTGAACGTGTGACCATCAGGTACTGCTCTTCTTATGGCATCTTGAAACTCTTCATTTCCTGCAGAAACACCTGTTGTGCGTTCGAGCTCATAGGCTGCTAATGCTGGTGACAACACATAGGAGAGCTGGTCATCCCAAACAGTAGAAAGGCCAAGATCCTGTGAGGCAAGTCACAGAATGATGACAACTGTGCAGAAGGAACATTAGGATATGCCTAAGCTTGCCTACTGAGTAGATTCAAATAAACACAAGAATCTTTAATTGGTAGTTAACAGCAGTGAACCCATGAAGCAGTATGATTTGTAGACTGACTCACACACCACCTGGAAGAATCAAACATGACCAACAAAGTATCATACATTTAGCAAGGAATGAGGTTAGACTACTAGACTAAAACTTCAGGCCAGCAGAGTTGAAGTTAGATGTTTCAGCTACAGTATCTCTTAATGAAACGTAAGAAGATATGCATAAATACACAGCAAAAATATGGAAAAGATCAACTGCAATTCAACTCACATTTTTCTAGTGTCTCTCACAGAAAACTCTTTCTGAAAAAACAGTGCACAACAGCTCCTCAAAACACAAAGGCATGAACATGCACCTTCTTCCTACCAGCCCACAAATGCCAAGAAGTAGAAAAATTTACCATCCATTTATGTATTCAACACTGCATGAGACTCAATACTCTTGAGAATTGCTTGCCACCCCAAAGGTTGAGCATTGTGTGGGAGGAAAAACAAAATCAATGCAAAAACCCCATTAAAAACAGACATAAGCTAATAGAGACTTCAAATATCAACGCCTTCACATCCAGCACAGAAAAGACTCGTTTCTGGCACATCACACCTTGTAAAAGTCCTGGTAAAGGATGAAACTAACTTCCAGAAATATCTCCAGTTTTGCAAAGCAATTAGAGTAAGCTGAAAGTCTGCTTTTATCAAGACACCAAAAACATTTTTGCTGGATAGGCAAAGCCCACTAACAAACACATTAGATTTTCCTGGCGCTTTAACAGACCACTCAAGGTAGTTTGCAGGCCACACGTGAGGCTACGAATCACCACTGCAAGTAATAAGTATGATGTCTAAACCAGCTCAGTACAATCTTTCCAAACACTTTTTTTCATTTATTTCCCTTTTCACATACCACATTTCTGCAAAAGCTGATGGAAAACACATTGCAAAGATACAAGTATGTGAACTAAGAAATGGCTATCCACAACAAGTACACAGTTAACACATGGACTTTTATTACTGTGACAGATCAATGACAATCTTTCTTACCTTTCTGTGTTCAGAGACCAGTATTCTCAGCTGCAATTCTATCTCGTTGCTTGTTACTGCAGCATCTATTGCAGAAGCACACAGAGGAGGAAAAGGGGGAACTGAAGATGTTGCTCCAGGAGGGCATACGGATTTTATGGCTTCTCCACTCATGGGTTTCCATTTAGATTCATCGTGCAGGTCAAACACACAGACGTCTACAGCGTCAGAGGGCTGACAATTTCCAAAGAAATTCTGGTGGTTGAAGACACAACCTACTGTGCGATAAGGATACAGTGGCTTGGGTTGTTCAACTAGCGGCGGGTCATCAGGGTTGATAGGTCTGTGGATGTACCTAATCAAAAAGATTCAATTTGTTATTAATACACCTTATTTCAAGGCAAGGTACAGATATACAGATATAACCATTTCTCCTTTAAAAATACAAGCCACATATTTTTTTTCTCCAAAAATGGCATTCATTTGCTTACAGAAAAGTAATTATCCACATTTTGGAGGTATAATATACAATGAAAAAATAAATAATTTTTATTCTTTAAATCTAGAAAAATAAGCTGATT